ATGGATGCAGAAAAGGGGCATATTATGCCGCGTATTAACTAAATGTATTATTATTTTTAGAAAATAGGCAGTTTTTCCCGCCAAGGGAATCAAAACTGTGTTGTCCAAAATCACTCTCAGACTGAGAGCCAACAATATTTCCCCATATTTTATCTACTTTATTTTATTGCATTTTAAGCAATGCTTTGCACATCTATTATTGTTCATTAAAGCACACAAACAATTTGTAATAATTTTTTGCAATGATAATTAAACAAAGTTTGTTTTTGAATAAAACATGTCAAGATTTTTTTTTTGATAACTAGCTGTTTAGCTTTGTGGTAAAAGGGCTAGGCACAAGAACCAACTAAAAAAATATAAGGAAGAAAGATAATAAATTAAGATAATAAATTTTGTTGAGTATCCCAAGAGATTAAACCTATACAATATCATTACCTAGCACCAATTGTCTTTGGAAGTTGCAAGCCTGCAGTCATTAAATGGCTTCTGTTTTACCTTATCCAAACCAGCAAACATTATTTAAATATTTATATGATACTACAATATGGTTTGGTATAAAATGTTCTACACAACTCTGCAACTAAAATTATCAAATGTGGGTAAATTTAATTTTAACCATATACCATGTAAATCAAAGTTTTATACATATTAAGTATAAGAAACTTTTTAAATGTGATTAATATTGATCTAATCTATATCAAAAATAATATTTTCAATTATTGCAAGTTTTGAACATTCAAATGATGACCATATATGAAAGAAAATAGAATACTTTATATACCTACAATGAAATAAATATGTAAGTCAATATGTCTGTATTATAATCCAAGCAGTCTTGCTTGCATTACAAATCATACACATTATCTCTTTTATATTATTAAGATACTATAACAATAATGTATTGTTAAACAGTATTGTACTCTTGGGATAAAAAAATATAGAAGATAAATAATAGTTTAATGTTTAAAATACATTAAAGGAAAATTTTTTCTACCTAGCCTATGTAAAGTTCGTTAAATTTCATATTAAAAACCTGTCTACTGGCAACCAGATTACCATGAAAATAAGCATTTTCAAGAGAATTGACTTAACGGAGGTAAGCAGACATTAAAAAATAGATGTTTATAATTGATTAAAGAAAACAAATGCAATTACAGATAACAATTCTTGACCGAAACGCTAAGGCGTTGTTTCAGCGGTAAATTGGTAAACAAAACAAAAGTACCGGAACATAAGGTAATTAGTCGAAATTGTAAAAATAAAGCGCCGAATACTTTATATTCTGTGGCTTACTTGTTCAAAATGTAGAATAAGGTGAGAATCTACGTTACTTTGAGCAGAATTCAGGGCAATGATTCATAACTGAATAGACCCGAGGCAAAACCGATATCAGAGCGCAAGATGCAAAATTTTCCACAAAAACACCAACAATTTTGATTGATATGCACAACCGCATCACAACGGGAGCTCACGTCATCAATTTCTTAAATGTCCAAGTGAGACGAAATTCAATAGGCGAGCGGCACATGTGGGGGACGCCATTCTTGAAGCACCTTTCTTGGTATCAAAATGACAGTCTTTGTTGATGAAATAATTGAAAACGACACAATTTCACATCGCTTCAAACAACACATTATCACACATTAAAATTTAAACTTTATTTTTTACCTTAAACCTAGCGTATTTTTCGGAATACAGCACGATTTCTAATAAAATTTATTATTTCCATACCTGTGAATGCGCTCTCAAACGCAAGCTGGTCACGTGACTTCCTAGTGGTGAACCATGACCGACAGAGTTACGATTTAAGAATGGCCAGTTTGAATGCCAATTTTATTATTGCATAAATTCAATTACTTCCTATATCGACCTACTTAATTACAAAATTTAAACTATATATAGTTACAAAAATTATAAAACACTAAGCAACACATCTTATTCATTTAGGTATTCTTTAATTACATAGTTATATTAGACTGTGGATATAAATAAATTTGTAACTTCTATAAAAGAAATACAGTTTTATTTTTAATTGCGATAAAATATTTAATGTAAATAGTAAAAAAATGCAGAGTTACGACAACGGTGTTTTTTATTTTTACCCGCGATGTAACGGAGATGGTACATGCGTTGGGGGAGAAAGAATGATTGTTTTGTAGTTTCAGCTCCTGGGATTATTTAAAGCTTCATCGGTTCTATTCTAAAACTCAAAAGATATGTTTTTATTAACATTTCACGCGCCTACGGAATAGAGAAAATAGTGGAAAATGGAAATAGTTCTCACGGTCCCTAATATCGGATCCGCTGTTGCCAAACTTACACAAGTAATATTTGTGTCATATTTTGAACTATAACTGCATCTTAGCTGCTATTGACATTCACTAATCACATTAATTTCATAAGTTAATTTTATTTATTTTTAATACATTTAAAAAAAGATCTGCTAAAATGTACCGAGTAAATTACCATGTAATTTTTCAAAGGAAAAACAACATTTACAACCAAATAAAGTCTTGATTAAATTTGTTTTTTTTAAATATTAGCCAAGAAAACTTAATTAACAGATGAAACATTGAACTCAACAGAATTACAAAAAAAATTAAAACCGTAAAATCTCTCTGTATTACTTAAATAACGATTATTCTAAGATAAAAGCTAAAAATTGAAACAGTTCTTAGATTTAAATGTTTACTACGAATTTTTTCACGTCGTAACTAGAATAAAAGACAACGTAGTAAATTTTACGCCATCCATCACACTTACAAATTTCACTCCTTCCCATATCTTTATATATTAATTCTTCTGCTGTACTTCTATTTGACCGCATCCAACGAAGAGCTTCTCGAATCATCGACGACCAAATCCTGTCTGATCGCCTTGATTCTTTGGCCCTGCGAAGGGATGTTTTCTATCGAATATATCATATAGTGCTCTAAGGAATTGTTTGGGTTGATACCTGCAGGTGAATTTCACCATCGTACAACTCGTCAAACCGCCAAGTATCATCGACACCATCTTGATGGTTGGCGGTCCACCACTGTGCATTTTTCGCGAAATTTTCTACCAAGCACAACTACTTTGTAGAACGAGTTGTCGCCAGCGGTATTTCCAGACCGATACGACCTAGGGACATTCAAGAAGAGAGCCTATTCCTACCTTAAAGGCCGGCAACGCAATTGCGACTCAACCGATGTTGCAAATGTCCATGGGCGGTGATCACTTACCATCAGGTGACCCGCATGCTCGTTTGCCTCATTTTCCCATTAAAAAATAATTAAATAGTCAGTCTTTGTTCGTCATATTTTTCTCATCATCTTCATCATTTCATCCTGTTTGAGTCCACTGCTGAACATGGGCCTCCCCCATAGACTTCCAATGAAGTACGATCCCGAGCCACCTGCATCCATCGACTTCCCGCACATTTGCACAGGTCGTCACTCCATCTAGTGGGGGGTCGTCCTACACTGCGATGGCCAGTACGAGGCTGCCACTCGAGAACCTTTCTTCCCCAACGGTTATCGGTTCTACGAGCTATATGGCCGGCCCATCGCCACTTCAGCTTGCTAATCCTCTGAGCTATGTCGGTTATCTTAGTTCTACTGCGGATGTCTTCGCTACGAACTCTATCACGCAGAGAAATACCGAGTATAGCCCGCTCCATAGCTCGCTGAGCGACTTTGAGCTTCCTCATACGGCCAGCAGTGAAGGACCACGTCTCGGTTCCGTAGGTCATCACTGGCAACACACATTGGTTGAAGACTTTAGTCTTCAAACATTGAGGTATATTCGACGAGAAGATTTGCCGAAGTTTCCCGAACGCTGCCCATCCGAGTTGGATTCGCCTATTGACCTCTGCGTCGAAGTTGAACTTACCTAGCCGGACTAACTGTCCTAGGTAAACGTACTCGTCAACAACTTCGAGCTCAGTGCTCCCAACAACAACCGGTATAGGCGTGACATGGACATTAGACATGATCTTCGTCTTGTCCATGTTCATCTTAAGGCCCACCCGTTGGGAGACACTGTTGAGGTCATTGAGCATAGCAGCCAGGTCCTCCAGCGATTCTGCCATGATGACTATATCGTCGGCAAATCGAAGGTGGGTGATGTATTCGCCATTGATGTTAATACCTCGTCCTTTCCAGTCCAGAAGCTTGAAAACATCTTCCAACGCAGCGGTGAAGAGTTTCGGGGATATGACATCACCCTGTCTTACACCCTTCTGCAGTTGGATAGGTTTTGTACTACTGGACTGTACTTGGACGGACATCGTAGCCTTGTTATACAAACACCGCAGCACTTCGATATACCGACAGTCAATTTGTACCGCTGAAGAGCCTGGAGTACAGCCCAAATTTCGACAGAATCGAAGGCTTTCTCATAGTCCACATACGCTAGGCACAAAGGCAGATTATACTCTTCGGTCTTCTGTATAATCTGCCGCAAGGTGTGTATGTGGTCTATGGTACTGAAGCCTTTTCGGAATCCGGCTTGTTCGGGAGGCTGAAAGTCGTCGAGTCTGGAAGCGAGACGATTCAATATGACTCTTGAGAACAGCACATAGACGCGGCTCAGAAGGGATATCGGTATATAGTTCTTCAAGAGAGCCTTATCGCCTTTCTTAAAGAACAGGTATAGTGTCGGATAAGCTTTGCTCTTGGGTCGTTACTCACACATGTGTGTGGCTCCAACGACGATGTGTACAGCTGTCCATAGAACCTCTCAATCTCACTCAAAACCTCTGGTCTACTGGAGATGATAGCCCCGCTGTCAGTCTTCAACTTAGTCTTCTCTGGCGAAGACTTTTGATTTTCATATTTTTCTGTTCTCGCTGAATTATGACATTTGAGCCTTTTGAGTGTATGTATGTCAAGAGTATCAATCAATGTCAAGTGTCAAGTCAATGTCAATTTTTAAGCATCACTATAGTTTTCTGAATTCTTATTTATTTTATTAAATTTATTCACTTTCTATGCTTAGAACATTAATAATATGAATATATGATGTCGCTCCTTGAAGATATATTCTTACGAGATGAGGCTGATGAAGCCAGAGAGCTAGAACGCATTATTGAAGGAGATGAATATGACGAGAAACCGCAACGTTCCGATAGTGATGATAATAGTGAAAAAGATGATGAAGCAGGTTAAATTAAACACATTATACTTTTACATATTGTAAACTGACCTTAAAAATTTTTTAAATTTTGTTACAGAGGAAGAAAAAAAGCGTGTTGACCCTTCCACAACAAAGACAAAACGTGCCGTTAAAAATCCCCGATTCATTTTAAATCCTGCACGGCTTACCGGACCTAGAGGAATACAGGTTATTCCCGACCATTTTAAGGATTTCAAATTTAAAGGTATTCTCTAAGATTTTTCTCTCTAAGATCTTATTTCCATTGAGCTTAGCTACTCTTGTTTATTGCCATATCAAAACAAAAGTTATAAGAAATAAGTTTTGTCTTGATTTAGTCTACTTTTTCCTTATACTATATGGATATATTTAATGTAAGAAATAATTATGTAGTAAAGTGTTTATAACCTACATAGTTGTTTGTCTTCTCATGAAATTGTGCACTTTGAATGGTCTGTTATCACCTTCCATAACAGATTTTGATTGGATGTTCTTTGACTTATGCTAATTCTATCTGTGATAAGTAAGCAGGGTTCAAGGATTTCATTTTCCTTTGGACAATGCTAAAGTGTGTATTGAGCAAGTAATTATTCTGGATCTGGATGGATTATGTTACTCTGTGTATAATTTGTGTAGTCAGTATGTCTGACATTACTTTAACTTATTATTAGCAGAAAATTAGGTGCTTACTTTTTATTGTTTCGACATTGAAGTTCAAGGTTAAAGTCGATTTGTTGAAGGTTAAAGTCATACCCTTTTTAAATTTTTAATAATTTGTCAAGTATATTTATTTATTTAATCTTTATTGCCAACCTTAAGTAAAACAAGGTAACAAAGGGTGGACTTAATACCCAAAGGCTTTCTCTACTTTTATTGTTATTTTATATTTACAGGTAAAGGTCATGAAAAAGAAGACCTAGATTTAGTGCTGAAAAAGTTAGAACATTGGGCATACAGACTCTATCCAAAGTTTGAGTTTGAAGACTGCTTGAAAAAGATTGAAACACTGGGCAAGAAGAGGCCTGTTATGGTAATTTAAAAATTTATCAGTGTTATAATTTTGTATAAGTATACATGAGCCATAATAGCCGTAGTAGATAGGGTCAATCAGGGCACTTGCTTTTAATTAAATGTACTGTCTTAATGTCTCTCAACTCAAGAACTAATAATGGTGCCAGCACCAATGAAATTATTATGTTTAAGTTCTGACTTATCACATGCTTAGTGGTAAAGAAAACATTGTAAGGAAACCCTTTTTTTTTATCGAAATAATAAATAACAATATTTCTCAAACATATGTGAAGCCTGCCAATCCATAATGGGATTGTAGTGTTATGTTGACTATGCTCTAATACCATCTGCAAGAACCTGTTCTTACAGATTGTATTAGAGCATAGTTTACGTCTTACCTGTTCTTACACAGGTTCTTTTATTTTTTTAAACATGTATAATGTCGTACAACGATGTCTTTACAACCACGACATTAAATGAACACACGTCTAACACCCAGTTTCCGAAAGCGCAATCAATTTTAATTAACGATAAATCTCTTGTCAAACGTTGTTTAACATGATCTGAGTTGCTAGAACGTCTGAAAACAACATTGATTTTGATTTGCAATTAGTGTATTGCAAATCAAAATCAATGTACTGATTAACGGACAATCAACAGAAAATCGAGTTTCTGAAAGCTTTTTTCGGTGGTCAACGAGCTGTCAAAAGTTTTATTAAGTAATGTGTCAATTTGGACGATCAATCGTTGGTTAAAAAGGTATTTTATCAAAATTCTTAGTTTTTATTAGAAATAAACATAATTCCCTAATAAGGAAATTCATGTGTTGAATCTATTTATTATTATGCGAACATATCATGCGATTAGAAAAAATAGAAAATGCAATTCAAAAGTTAATAAATAATATGGATACTTTCTTTTTATAATACTTACTTGTTTATTATGGATAAAAGTTCATTTTTTTCACGTTCTGTAAAATTTTTTCTTGACATTTTGCATGTATTTATATAAATAAAATTTTATTATAGCTCGGATTTTTACGTTGGCAATCACACGGTGACAGGACTAGATAGTGACGTTAATTTAAGTTTTGTTTAAAAAGGGACAGCTATACAATAGAAAGAGTTAGTTTAAGTAAATCATTCATTTCATTCATTATCGTTGGTTATACAGTGATTAGCTGATTTTTCTTGAACAAACCTTCCAGAAACCCAAGGCAGTTTAACAAGAGATTAACAGCTGATTATTTTTGACATAGTGTTATGTGATTGCTGTTTTGATTGGCCTTTCGGAAACTGGGCATAACACTACTTGCCAATAATCATAAAAAAATATTAACATTAAAAAAATCAAACAAAATTTTAAACAAACTAGTTAAGTACAAAATTTGTAACATCCTATACAACTGACTGATTCATACATTCAGAGACTTTTTCATTCGTTGCCACAGCGCCGCATTACAAGCCTTCTAACAATATTTTTTGTCTCTTTTAAATTCATTCGACTCATTTATATGCTTTGTGACCTTTACAAATGAACTTTACGTTACAATTTATATGTAAGGTTGTTCTAAAATTCTTTGTTTTCTAAAATTTAATAAATCTTTAAATATTGATGTTTAAAGAATGTAAATGTTTAATACAATTTTAAAAAGTTATCCTCTATATGTGTGTTCATTTATTGTTGCGATTGAAAGATACGCTGTATATCGGAAAATTCAAAAATGTGTTTAGAATAATAATAGAGTTAAAAATGGGGCTAATTTCATACATCTATATCTTCCTATAGGTCCACTTACACAAAATAAGGTCAGATCAATTTGTTTCTGAGGAGACGATAGTCCAAAAAGATTCCAGTGATGAAGAAACTGTACCTATTGATAAAGAGGAGGATGAGTTTGACAAACTATTGCAGCAGCAGATTGAATTGGCTCGTTCTACCCCTCGCCCTGGATCTGTTAAGGCACATGCATTGGAAAATTCTTTTATGGACAGGTATAATTTTTAATATGTATATGTAGACATTTGATACATTATAGTTAACAAAATGAAAAGCATTATTTTATTTTATTTGGGAGTCTTACTTTTAGTATATCCAAGTAAATAAAAACGAATTATAAATTTAATAGATTGTAATAAGTCAGTTACTTTTATTTGAATTTTTCTTTTACAATTACTAAAACAGTCAAATATCCGTGACCGATTGTTAACTATATTGTAACCGCAATGGATATAATATCTGTATCCAGATCAGAAGTTTCATAAATGAATATTTCTAGATGGTACAATGAGCTCACAGAAGATGTGTAAAGTGAAAGTTTACTTATGTTTGTCAGTTGGAAGAGGTAATTGGCTCTCGAAAATGTTTTATGGTCAACGGTTGCCCAATAATCACTTAACATAACATAGAATAACCTGCTTGCTTGTCTCCTTTTCATATAAGAAAATGAATCACCCTTTATAGAACGATTTCATCAATTCACAGCAACTGACTTTGAGGTTGATGATGATGATGGATTAATAATGTCATTTATTTATATACAGGCATGTACCTGTATTAATTTAATTTGTAAAATTTCTTATTTTTTAGATCGTCTATTACTGCACCAAAAGCAACATCATCTCCATCAATTAGTGAAGAGCAAAAGGAAAGAATGATGAGAAATCGGAAATTGGCCGAAGAACGACGCCTTGCCAGGTTAAAAAATATTAGCACTGTTACAAGCGCTGCCAATAAATCTACTGGTAACCTTCCCTATAATAAGCCTGTTGAACAAACAGACAAACGCAATGACGATATGGGAATTGACACAGATAATATAGATTTACCTCGAAGGCATAACAGATCAAATGTAATCGACAGTTCTGATGATGAAGATGGTATTACGACAGTAAGTGAAGCAGTAACAGTAGATATCCATGCAGATATTAATATGAAAACTACATGCTCTAATCATACAAAAGAGTGTAATGAAGAGATTAGAACTGAAAATGATTTTGATAGCATTCTTAATGATGATAGAGATAAAGATGATGGTAGAAATACAAATGATAGTGATAATGTCATTAATACGGAATGTTTAGCCATAGCAAATCAAGATCTTACAATCCGACAAAATGAAAATGTCTGTGAAATTAATGATATATCCAAAAACAAAGATCAAAGGGAAGAAAATCTTGATAACAGTGTTTTTATAATTGATGCAGAATTATCTGATAATGTTTCAAAATATAGCAAAGATGCAGACACCATTAAAGATAAAGAAACAAATCATGAATACATTTCTGAAGCTATTCAACATGAAAATATGCCTTGTGAAGAAAATGTAACATTGTATCAAGATCCAGATGAAATAACAAATGGTACAGTTAATCAAGTTACATCTGGTGTATTTGTAGTAACTGAAGTCAATAAAACACTTGTTAGTAATGACAAAGTTAACTCAAAAGCTCATGTTGAGAAAGAATTGGATGATGATTTAATGGATGTAGATTTTACTGAAGACTTCTAATTTATTAATAATCATTTACTATTAAAAATGATATTAATTTTTGAAATAAATGGTTTTATTATTACATGTGTATGTTATATTTGAATTTAAAAGAACAAGGATAAAAGGCTAAGGTACAGTATTATTCTATTCAAGTTTTATTTTATGTGAAAAGTTGCCAAATGAGCAGACGGTTCTCCTGATGTTAAGTGAACACCGCCGCCCATGGCAATCTGCTACGGGTTACAGATGCGTTGACAACCTTTTGAAAATTGAGCTCCGGCTATCTCACTCACCAGACGAAACGCGAAAGTATTTGTCATACTTCCACTTTACTCTGGTTTTCTGTGAGGTCGTGGTACTTATCCGGACAGGCCTGCCCATTCGTGCAACAGCCGAGGCTGCTGTACCACCGTAAGTCTATTTTTTTAAATAAATTTTACACATAACTCCATTATATGGTACCTGTATTTGGAATTAAATGGGCTAAAAAGTACTGAGGTCTTACCTTAGTAATGCAGTAAAGTAGAAGCATTTACTCACTCTTCTGCGTTCTGTTTTGTGAGTTTGGTAAGAAGGGCCCTCTGTTTAAACAGGGGTGATGGTATTCACTTAATCTTTGCTAATTTGTTAGATATCATCCTACAGTGTATACAAATTTGTTGTGGATCTACGAAAAATAGATATTAATAGGACCCACAAGATGTGCAAGTCTGCATTATACACTTGATTATTGTGTGTGTTGGATGACTGGATCTAAGCTTAATGTTTGTGTGTGTCCATTAATACTAAGTTACAAAATTAAATTTCAATCGGATTCTCTTTATAAGTTCTACTGAGTAATACATACATATTACATAGGACACAAACTGCTTTGCATGCAGACATATTTGCGCGAGCCTTTTTCGATTTAAAATCAGCCTGTGCGCGAGCAACCGCGCTTCCTCATAGTTGGTCAATTCAATTGGGAGTGATGGCAACACTGCCAGTGTTGACTTATGGTTTCCAATTTTAAGTCAAACTATTGAAGTCAGTTTTTTCAAAAGCAGGCAAGTAACTTTGATTGAGACTTGAGAAAAATTCAGTTTTTTAACAGTAAATACATAAAAAAATTCGTCGAAGGTACTGTAGACGGGGCCGTGACGTCATTTGGTCGAGATATATACCGCAAACAGCAAACCAATGCGGAAATTAAGAAGACTTTGTACAATTAACATATTTTCGTCTCGACCACAGTGAACGCAAATACAACATCGTTTTATTTGCGTTTACTCCTCGACCAATAAAATAATTGCGTCGAACTCAATAAATTGTTTTTCATACATTCGCATGGATGAACAAATAAAAAACCCTTCTAGTTTTCTTTATTTATTTAAGATGATGCAAACGAAAACCTTATCACAGAACATAAATAATTTTACAGAAACCTTTATATTAATATCAACATTAACGTTAAATAGCTTAATTATTACAAAATGCAGGTGATCTTTGTATTTATGTATTTTACAATAGGTTAAAATAAATTAAGATTACAACGCTAAGATTTAGCATAAACATGCCTGTTTCAGATTGTCACGGGCGAGACAAACCTTCATAATGTTTCTTTTAGGGATGTCTAAAATGGAGAAATATTTAGAATATTTACAAAAATATCGATTCATTCCGACTTCGATATATCGAAGAAAAAATATACATATTTTCTTATAAGGCCCCATTGCCCAAAAAAAGTATGTCAAGTATTTAATATTTGTATGTACGGATTCTGTGCCGGATTCGAATTTGAAAAAATTTCGTTTTTTATACGATTTTTCCGACATCCCTAGTTTCTTTTTAGCAAATACTGGAAATGAGGTCTCAAAATTACCAATGTAGATTTCAGAGGATAAAGAATTCTATCCAACACAAAAAAGATATTTACTAACAATGAAGAGATGACTCGTAAAAGTAATATGAAAGTTTTATTTACATGTTATTTCACATAATATTTAGGGTAAAAAAGGATGTAATGAAATATCATTAATATCAAGCTTTCGATATTTTAGAGATTAAATCCGAATGCTTCTAATTTAAATACATTTTTAACAACTTGAGCTTGAGAACATTGAATTAACTGGTATATATGTACAATAACTTGAATTTTAAAAGTTTTTTTTTGTTCTACAAACTCCTCCCACTCGTCCAAAGCTCATATTACTTCTAAGGACATCTTTGCAAATGTTATATAAATATTATCGTCAATAATGTATAGATCTGAGATCTTACATCACAGATTTAAATGTGTTTTGGTGGGTCCTCATCCAATCTACGAACTTGAGATGTAAAGTTGAGATGTGAAGTTATTAAAATTTAATAAAATGTTATTATATTAAAGAAGCACATTTAAAGATATTTAACTATTGTTATTGAAACAACATTTTACAAGATTCTCTTTAAATGTATTTCTTTAATGATTTCATATTACATGTAACACTACTACTTTAGCCAGGCAAGTTATGTACATTTAATATTTGGTTTAATGTCAGCACACCAAATATATTTAAATATGTGATAGAAGTACTAAGTGGATGCTAAATCTATGTACTATACTAGGTTTCTAAATAAGTAGTGCCATAATATATTTGGTACCATGTTTAACCATAACAGTGAACGCATTATTTTCCAAGTGATTAGGGAAATCGAATGATGAAAAAATGCAAGGTTTGAGGCAACACTTACAATGAAATACGTATTTACAGAAGATGTAAAAACTTGGGCAAACAACAAAAAAGTTTGTATTTAAGTAGTTGTTTTATTACTTGGAATTACTAGCCATTAATAATAGGAAATCTACCATTTTGATAATTATGTAAGTCTTAAAAGTTCTTTGAAAATCGGATCTGTAGACCGCAATATTAGTGAAAATCTATTTCTTGTGGGGAAATGAAATAGTCTGCCTATGTATTTTATGGAAAATAATTTAATCATAGTTGTAATGCTTGGTAATTTTCTGACATGCCCCAATTTGTTATATATCATAAAAGATTGTGGAGGAAGAAAACTAGTACAGTTTTTATTTAAAAAATACTTCCATATTCATGCATTCAAATTTTTCGATCAAATCAATTCATTATTTGATCCGCATCACACTAAATTGGACATATGTAAAGCATTATCATAATATTGAGTAAATTTCATAATCTTATAAGGGAATATTAATGTAAGAAGCTGTGAATATGCTTAACATATTGTTCAGTCATGATTATTAGGTATCTATTGTTATTTAATAAACAATACTATATGTACCATAGTCTTTGACTGTTACAAATCTGAAGAAAAAAATATCAAAGAAATGAATTAACCGCTTAAAACATATCATGATTGTGACCATCTATTGTTATTTCATAAGCCTCACTGCCATATTTAATAAACTTTAACCGTAATAATCATGAATTAAATTCACAGCTTAAGAATATCATTCAATAATCATTATGGGCAATTGTGGTAAGTTTATTGAAAGCGGTCCACAAACCGACAATACATTATCTAGAAGTCTATATCTCAGACAGGAGAGACAATTACCTTTCCAAAGGGTTCCTATGTAATATAGATATTGAATATTGTATAGTTTAAAATAGACTTGTGGAGGTCAGTTTCAGATTAGTTGGCCTCGGGTATTAATGATGCGAAAAACGAGGAAGCTATTATCCATATGGAGGTTAACAGGTTGTTACGATTGGGGGTGGCAGCAGGGGGTGCCTCCTGTGGGGTTGTAGGGGTTGCATTTTGCTCCTCGTTGGGGGGCAATTCGCGGAACATCCCCATTTGGTTTCTGGAAAAACACAATTTTTAACAGATTCATTTAAAAGTTCACCACTTTTGGGGATGTGATTTGAAATTTGGTCAAGCAGTAATTCATTTTGACCATTGGCAAGTTACAAATAGTTGTTCTTGTCGTGCAGTTCATTATTATGAAAGAAAGAAAACATTTATTGCACAAATATGCCACATAAGAATTGCACAGTTCCAACATCTTAGCTATGTACATTTAAACCATAAACATAAAAAAAAAAGTGCGAGTCCAACTCGCGTACGAAGGGTTCCGTACCATTATCTATAAAATCGGGGAAAAAACCATGTCTGTTTTATGGGGACCCAACTTAAATATTTTTTTATTTTAGTATTTGTTGTTTGTTGGACCGGTGTTGCAAATGTCGATGGGCGGCGGTTATCACTTGGCATCAGGGGGGACCGCCAGATCGTTTTCCACCTTCACACATAAAAAAAAATAAACACTCACAAATATATCACGGTGGCGACGAGCAGCACCAGTAGCAACCTGACGGGGCTGCCGTACAGGTAGACCAGCGAGAAGAGTATCGCCATGCGGGAGGCGGTGTACACGTGGTCGAGCCAGTCGCGGGGCGCGGCCGCCTCCTCTGGGGGCGCGCGCGCCTCGACGGCCTCTTCGGGGGGCGGGCGCGCCTCTCGCGCCTCCGCCTCGTTGCGTTGCGACATCGCTTGCTGCCTGCGGTCGCGACGAAACTCTCATTCAAAACCATACCATTGGCCCAAAAAATGTTTCTTCATTTCTTTGTAATAACAGGGTAAGCCTGAGACTGCTTTGATATTACAATTCATTCCTACTCAATAATAGCATGCGTTATTGGTGTATATCCGATTATGGAAGCGTTGTTGTGTCGAGTCTGTCTATAGATAAATGTCATTGGATTGTGTATGGAAAATTACTCGCTTATAATTTATTGGACATTTTCGGATCGACATAGTGATGCGATTTGATTTACTGTCGTCACTTATACATATACATATATAATTTCTTGGTTGACATGGTAATACGACTGTATTATATGGTACTACGATCATTTTTGACGTAGGTTGTGTCGGTAGCAAAGCGACCACTGTCACTGCAACCGACTTCATCATGTCGCTTTGTGAAAAATTCGTGAAAAAATTCACTCTCATAATTTATTTCTGAACTCGCCTAAAGGAGTGTAAAAGTTCAAAATATCTTTATTCGAAGAGCCGCTTGCCAGTTCGTAACAAACGTCGAATTTTACATAATAATCCTGTTCCTCAGAGGTAAACAGCATTGTGTGACAAAACACAAATTTTAATGGAGAGGCGAAAATACGTGAGTGAATACTCGAATGCATTATTGATTATGATGCCATATACGATTGGATATTTTATTAAATAGGCGTCGTAGGACTTAATGCTTTATACTATTGTGTAGAATTTGCTCTAGCAATCTTAGTAAAAGTAATTAAAATAATTTTGAAAAATGTGGAGTTACTATTTTGTGCCCCTGAGGTACAGAATTGATACATATGTTCGCAAGCAGGATAACGCCTGTTCGGTAGACGCTTTCCGTTGAGAAGAGACCGGCCGGAAAGTCAACGGCAACCTGTACAAGGCATATCGATCCTCAAAAGTCAACTCACATATTGGCGTACTGCTGCATGTACTGGATGTACGCCTGCTGCATCATCAGCATCTGGTTGGCGAACGTGGCGGGGTCGTTGACCGCGGGCGGTTGGCCGCCGCCGAAGTTGTACGCCGGGTAGGGTGGCACACGGCCGTAGTTGTTCGCGAACGTGCTCAGGTAGTTGCGCATCTCGACCGTGTGGTTCTGGTCGTTCTGTCTGGTCTCCGGTCTCGGCGCGGTCTCCGCCCTCTGTCTGGTCTCCGGTCTCGGCGCGGTCTCCGCCCTCTGTCTGGTCTCCGGTCTCGGCGCGGCCTCCGCTCTCTGCGCGGCCTCCGCTCTCGGCGCGGTCTCCGCTCTCGGCAGCTCCTTCCTGCTTTCCGCCTTACGCTTCGGCGTGCACACTAGGTGCATAGTGTGGATTTTATCCGAGCCCGGATCGTAGAAGCGCAGCACGTCCTTCAGGACGCAGTTGTCGTCCAATAGCTGGCCCGAATAGATGATCTTCTGCTCGTCGGTGCTCTGCGGGTGAAGCGGTATACTGTACTCGTAAATTGTATCTTGTATCTATGCAAAGCTGACACATTATATACATATACAGGGAGATTTTTTTTGGAAGTGCCCAAATTTACACAGGACGTTCAGACTCGGTAGTACAATCGTTTATTGAAATAAAAAATAAAGTTTTTTTTCCAAAGAAAAATGCCATTCTATTCCCTAAAAAACAGAACGTGTTGACAATGGGGTAGTCATTCATAAATAACTAAATTTTATTGTGCACGAACTTGTGTGCACGCATAAAATAAATGAGTTGCGTATAAATCACGCACTTTTTGAGATAGGTTCAAATGAATGTAATTAATTACTTAAGAATGATTTTAAATATTTATCATTTTTATATAACAATATTTGTGTCTAGAATTTAATAAAAAAGTGGATACACTTAGAAAAGCCACCCTGTATCATATATTTGCGGGTGAAGCCGTATGCTGTGAATTGTATCTGTGCAAAGCTGACGAACTATGATGACTCCGTGGCGCAGTGGCCAAGGTATTATCTTCGCTTTCGGGGGTGTGGATTCGATTCCCACACGGGACAACTATTTGTGCGACCCACGGATAGTTGTTTCGCATCTAGGTGTTTGTCTGCGTGAAATTTATGTTTGTAAAACGTCCTTACAACACAATACACAATTTGAACATTATATTGAACCTGTGTAAATGATAATTTGCGATGAGACACAAAGTTAAAGATACACGTAATACATATAAGCAAACGGAAAAAGAACAAGAATATAGTTTTCAGTTGATAAGTATTTTTTTTTTACTAACGAAAAACAAAACCGACTTCAAATATCTCGCTCTTTATTCATTTTATAATTGATTTTAAGGTAGTATTTCCCTACGTATCCCCGGGGCCGAAGGTCTTATACCAGTGAAATTAATATGGGACCACATGGGTCAGCACATGCACTAGCTTTTAAATAAAAAAAGAATCATCAATATCGGGTCACTCAGTCGAAAGTTCTGAGGTAACAAACATAAAAAAAAATATAGTCGAATTGAGAACCTCCTTTTTTGAAGTCGGTTGAAGTTTGTACGAATTGTACACATTTGTGTATACACGTACTCCCCCCTAACCCTAACTAGGTGCGTTTGGGACAAGCGTTCAGATCTGGTCGCAGAAATGCTTTTCTCGTCTGGGAGCTAACCCACGATCCCTAGCGACCATCGGCGATATATCAAACATCAAAAGACCGTTGCGACGAAAACCTGCATCCAGTTTTAAATTACTCTTCATAAAAGCGAATAACATAGGCTAACGCCCGGTTTCAGGAAAACTGGTCATCGTAGATGTCAACTAATCAGTAGTCAAATGGCTTTACAAAAGTCATTTCAGTTGCCAAAAGGATGGTTAAACTCTCTGAATTGACCAGAATGATCATTAAGAATGATCATTCTGGTCAATTCAGAGAGTTTAACCAGCCCTTCGGCAAATAAAATGACTTTACGGTGGTAGGGCGACGCAACAGTGTTCGCTGTTGCACGAATGGGCAGGTCCCTCCGGTACCGCGACCTCACAGAAGACCGGCGTGATTTAGTAGTGTTGGACTTCTGCGTTTCTTCTGGTGAGTTAGGTAGCCGGGGCCCACATTATTAAGAGGTAGCAACGCATCTGCAATACTACGGGTGTTGCAAATGTCTATGGGCAGGCGATTATCACTTAACATCAGGTGAACCGCCAGCTCGTTTGCCACTTTCTCACATAAAAAAACATGAAATTTGAAAAGCCATTTAACAGTTGATTAGTTGACATCTACGATGATCAGAGTTTCAGAAAACGGGCGTTAATATGTCATTGAAGAAGGTGGCTAACAGGCAATGTCACCTGACGGGAAATGTTCATAGCCACCCATTGACACAAGAGGGTTTCAGAAGCTGTGTCAACCCTTTAGGAAGTAGATCCCAGTTACACAGATTCGGGGCCAAAAAACGATCTAGCCAGGTTTCATTTTTAGAAAATGTCCTTTTATCCCTGTTTTCAGGGAATGAAAAATATCATTCGAATATGACGGTAAATTTCGCCGCAAAAAAAATGTTATGATTTTAGTTAGTTAGTTATTATAATGTCGGTAATCGGGCGGCCTCAAAACAGACGGCCGCGGTTCGTATCACGATCATTTAAACACTTATTTCTTTATTTTCTATACCAGATCATTTTCTTTATTTTTTATTTTTTTTTATTTCAAAAATACATGATTTACCAAAAAAAAAACCGAGCGAAGCTCAGTCCTCCAGGTACTTTACAGCAGCCATTGCGCCTTAACGTATGTTCAAAATCGGCAGCGACCTCATCTCGAATTACGTTTATAAATATTGAGGAAGCGGCGAGAACGAGGGGATGTCAATGATGCGACGATGCGATTTACATTAGTGCTGTTTAGTTATAGCAGCTGACTAAATATAAAAAAAATTATAGTCATTGCTGTTGCAAGAATGGCCAGGTCCATCCGGTAAAGTACCACGACCTCACAGAAGACCGGTGTGAGGTACAAGTGTTATACTTCTGCTTTTCGTACGAATGTGAGTGAGGTAACTGGGGTCCATTTGTTGCCTTTGAATATTGTAGATGTTCATGGTTGGCGGTTTTCACTTAACATCACGTGAAAAGCCTTCACAATTAACAGAGATACAGGCTGGTGACAAAAGTGAACAGTCTTAGTAATAGGGACCCTATTACTAAGACTGTTCACTTTCGTTCGTTTTACCCTTTGGGTACGGAAACCTAAAAACGACGATAACTCTGAAAACCAACTTCAAGGTCAATCGAAAGATTGGATACACACGAAACTGATAAACTGAAGCCGAGGCGATACTGTAGAGGGAAAATATAAGTACAAGTGTTACAATGTCACGTAAGGAGAAAAAAGTTTTACAGGTGTTTTAAAAAAAAAGAAATTCATTGTACGTTTCGTTTGTGTAACAGTATTTCCACTTACAGCGGAAGCCCAATTAGTGTATAAGCTGACACAAATAGAAATTAAGAACCGTGTTTACTCAGTTGCTTATGGTATTGCGAATGGATATCGCGTTATTTATTGTCGTATAGCCCGTGGGACCCTTAGCATATTCTTTCAAACAGCCAAAGCAAAAAAAAAAAAAAAAAAAACAATACTCATTTATTTAATACTAGCGACCCACCCCGGCTTCGCACGGGTGCAATATATTATACATATAAACATTCCTCTTGGATCACTCTATCTAGTAAAAAAAACCGCATCAAGATCCGTTGCGTAGTTTTAAAGATGTAAGCATATAATATAGGGACAGACAGACAATGGGACAACTTTGTTTTATATTATGCAGTGAAGTTTCACACAAAAAAGTTATGTCTCAGGCAGAGATGATTGGGTTTAAATATGTGGGGCCAACTTTGGCGCGGGGCCGGTAGCAATTGCTACTCCTGCCATGGGTTAATTCGGCACTGACATTTTCGAATGTGAACTGATACTTCACAGTAAAGAAAACTCGACTTCAAAATCTAAATTATGCACTCACACATGCAGACTTTTTTAATTAAAATTTCATGCATCGTGTGCAAAGCGAGCAACTCAATCGAGTTTACGTGAAAACAGTGCATTTTGAAACGATAGTTTCTCAATCTATAATATTCGATTATTTATTATTTATTAAATTAATCAAGAATATAAAATTAAAATATGTAGAAAAAGTGCGAAAAGATTGTCGCCGCTGTGGGAATCGAACCCACGTCTTCGGCATTCGCGGCCTGACGCTCTAGCCACTGAGCTAAACGGCTGATGACCACACCGACGAAACGACCACACGACGTCAGGCCGCGAATGCCGAAGACGTGGGTTCGATTCCCACAGCGGCGACAATCTTTTCGCACATTTTCTACATATTTTAATGTACAATCTTAAGTGCAAAGATTAGCACTATAAACAATTTAAATTTCCAAGAATATAAAATCTAGAAAGTTTAAGAGAGCGACAAACGATTTTTGATTTCTTAAAAAGATCTATTTAAAATCTAGGTCTATAACTACTAATAAGTTACTGAACAGGTGGAGACATTCAAGACAACTCTTGAGATGTCCAAACAGATCTTAGTAGATGCTCCAAAGTCTGGAAAACCACACTGAGCCACTTAGGACTGGACAACTGACGTTACTTAAATTATCGCCCACGCATTAGTTTGCGGTGGTCCAGTTGCGTTTGCCCAAAGCAGCAATTTATTAGGAATTATTATTCAGACGTTTGTTATTCTTTATTTTGTTTGAGCAGTCTCGATTGCTGTTCATATCAAACGTCCGGGCGACCTCATAACATCTAGTTCTGTTATAAGCTGAGTACATTTTTGATATTACTATCGATAGTCGTTATTATCGATACTATCACATCTCTAATAAATGATAGATAATGAACATAGCGTGTCGGCCTATTTCACACTGCACGGTAGGCGCGAAACCCCTTCTACCACTTCCTCTGCTCATCCCCCTCAAATTATCTTAAAATGGTGTATAAATTTAACAAAAAAGGTATTTGGAAGTACCCTTGAATAGGTTATCATACTTTGCAATAATTGGCCTTCTGTAACCGCTGATAACGTTTTTAACCGCTTTGTTTACGTCACTGTATAAATAAAATATCACTAATGGCCATTAAAATGTAAACAGTACAAACAGAAGCCGCGATAAGGAGAGTAACGCGCAAAATGTTTGGAGAATTTTAACCACTTTGCATGGTGCAGTCAATATTTATATTTATTATTATTGCAAAACTGTATGATTTGTATCACAAGTATCTTACATAGTCATCACATTTATATGACGTTTGTATGTTAGTGCTAACTGAATTGCATATAGCATACCATATAAATAAATTTTAGTTAAAAGCTGAATTTGACACACCAAGGATGGTTTTCTAACTTACTTATGAGCCCAAAAAGTAACAAGGGCCCATCCTTAAGGTTGGCAATCGAATAGAACACCAAGAGCATTGAAGATGGCCATAGCGATATATATTCACTTGCCATAGGGTAAAATACTTGCAAATATGCATTTAAATAACAACAGTTGTACATACAGCCCCAACATGATTAGTAGCACTTCTTTTAGCGTTATCCAATTAATTACACGCATTCATGCACGTAGCCGTCTAGAATTCAGTATTTAATGTAAATCATAGTAAATATAAACATAAATCATTCAAGCGAAAATAAAACAAACTTTGGATTCAACCATGTCTAAACTAGTGATGAAAAATAGTTAATGCTAAAATATTGTTTCCAATAAATAACTAATAAAGAGTAAGCAAATATCCTTAAACGACTATTTAGCAAAGTATTCTCAAATTTCAAGCAAGGTGGCACTGAGTAGATTCAGAGTGGTATTGAATTGCGAAGCTATCATAACAACAAACTTAGATATTCAAAGATGCAAAGTGCTGGTACTAATCTTGTTTTTCAAGTATAATTTAAATATTGTAAGCAACATTTAGATGTAACAGGAGGGCTAAGATTACTTGGCTAAAATTAAAGCAACAATCAGTTTTCATAACAGCATTTAGACTGCTAATAATTGTACTTATATTTTTATCTTAATGGCTTTTATTGAAAACAAATAAAAAATATCATAACCTAATCTTAATCATTTTATCGTATCTAAAATCACTGTTTATCTATGAGTTATAATGATTACAAACATTTTGAATATGGAGAAATTTCAAATTGAATTGTAAAAAGTAAAAAGTTGTAAAGTGTTGATATGAAAAAACTGTTCAGTATATAGATTAAGTTATACACAAATACTTTTGGGATTATCTCATAATTAAAAGAAGACAATTAAGCATAATACAAAAAGCGGTTTAGCTAAAAAATATACATTACCGTATCATTGTTTATTTATGTACAACATAATATATATCAATATAATTATCGATTAATCGTCATTGCAACTGCTGAGAAATTAATAGTATTTTATATTTTGTAAGTAAAATCAGTAAATTAATGAAAACAAACAAAAATTCTTACTGGTTTACTGGGATAGATCTCTGTTAAGTGTCCTTTTAACTGTTTTATTGTCCAAGAAGATGCACATTCTATATTTTGGTCTTCAATTTGCTGATTCGGGGTCTTCACAATCAGTGTTACGTTATCTGGTATCATTTTGTTGAATACAGTCGTCACAGGTCGTTAGATAATAGCTTGTAAAATAACACTCGCGAATATAACTTTAAATAAATATATCATGAGCACTATAAATCCACCTCTTCGCGGTTCTATTCAGAAACTGAAAATGACGCAATACCAAATTGTTTTCTTATTATTTGACAAGGCTTTTAATGATCAAACTGAATTGGATTAAATCGGTAAATAAATACTACGTAAAATAATATAGGGTGGAAGAGGTCGTGTACTTGTCAATTTGCTCATGAAATTATTTGTCGACACTTCATTGGTCCAACTCTGATATTGATATTAGAGAATTTGTTTTCTTCCTTAAAATTTAGTATATTTTATTGGTCATACACATATTTTAGTTGTTAAAACGGTTCGGGATTGGTGAAATAAAAACTAACCAATCAAAACGGTTTATATTATCTATGATTTTTTTGTATTAGACATTTATCTCACATTTTCAAAAAGAAGATTTTTTGTTCGATTTTATATTTCGTTTAAAATGGTTTTGAGAAGATAGTAAATATAAAAAAATGCTAAGGTTCCAGCTAATTAAACATTTATCTATTCACTTAATTAAAAAAAATTAACAATATCAAACAGGGAATGGGCAACTGGAAAAAACGTATCGAATTTTTAAATATAATCGTTATGGAGAACCAAGTAAAAAATATCACAACATATAAATACATCATATATATCACAAGTTAAAAATCTAGTGTTCAACAAATATTGATATAGCCTGTTAAGCAGCTTCTATTATTAAGTATCAGATGTAAAGTGCCGACACCAGCCGTGTGGTGTCGGCGTAAGAATAAGCCACCCCATCTCATCCCGTGGGTGTCGTAAGAGGCGACTAAGGGATAAGCCACAAACATCCGGTGGCCTCCGATAGATGGCGGGATAACCATCCTAACTCTCCAGACTCAAATATCCAGGCCAATAACGGGCAGCAGCGTTAAAGGTGCGAGGTGTCTGGAAGAACTGCGGTTGCCAACCCGCTCGCCAAGCGTGGCAACTATGGCAAAAAACCCCTCATGAATGGAAGTCCAAGGTGTACGGCCCCCAGTCCCCGGCGGCCCTGCTATTCCTGGCTACGGTAGCGGTCATGGTAACGGCAGGGCAGGGGGTGCTAAGAATCTCCGGCTAAGATTCGGCTACCAACGACGGCGACTGGACCTGGCAACATACAACGTTAGAACATTGAGGACTGACGAGAAGATAACAGAGCTGGAAGAAGAGGTAAGCAGGCTGCGTTGGGATATAATAGGATTATCTGAAGTCCGAAGACAGGGGGAGGACACGATAATCCTTGAATCCGGCAACCTGTTTTACCACCGGGAGGGCGACCAACTGTCCCAAGGAGGTGTCGGATTTATCGTCCACAAGTCTCTCATTAACAACGTTGTTAAAATCGAGGGTGTGTCGTCGAGGGTTGCGTACCTTATACTCAGAATATCCAAACGGTATTCGCTGAAGGTCATACAGGTCTACGCACCAACGTCGACACATCCCGATGATGAGGTGGAGGCAATGTATGAGGATATATCACGTGCCATATATTCCTCCAAAACTCAGTACATGGTGTTAATGAGAGATTTCAACGCAAAGCTAGGCATAAGGAAAGACGATGAGCTGAGAGTAGGTAGTTTTGGAATAGGGCAACGGAACCCAAGGGGGCAGCAGCTGGCTGACTTTATGGAGAAAGAGGGACTCTTTATGATGAACTCTTTCTTCAAAAAGCAGCCCCACAGAAAGTGGACCTGGATTAGCCCCGATGGTTCTGTAAAAAACGAGATAGACTTCATTATGACGAACAAACGGCAAATATTCAATGATGTCTCTGTGATCACAAGGGTGAAGACCGGAAGTGATCACCGATTAGTGAGAGGCACATTGAATATTAACATTAGGCTGGAAAGATCTCGTCTGATGAAGTCCACACTCCGACCATCTCGTGCCCATATCCAGAACTCCGAAAGCTTTCAGCTCGAGCTACATAATCGTTTCCAATGCCTAGAAAATTGCAGCACGGTGGACGATATTAATGCAAATCTCGTGGAAACTGTCCATGCCGCGGGCCTTAAATTTTATAAGGCCCGCCACAAAAATAGAACCCAAAAACTCTCTGATCACACTCTCAACCTCTTGGGAAAAAGACGAGAGATGCGGTTGCAGTCTCTAACTGACATGTCGGACTACAGGCGGCTTAATAGGCAGATCTCCCAATACATGCGGCGAGACTTACGCAACTTCAATACAGGTCGTATTGAGGGAGCTATAGGGCGGAACCTAGGCTCAAAAGTCTTCGCCAGAGATCTGTCTATCGGACAAAGCCAACTGACTAAGTTGAAGACTGACAGCGGTGTTATCATCTCCAGTAGACCAGAGGTTTTGAGTGAGATAGAGAGGTTCTATGGACAGCTGTACACATCGTCGTTGGAGCCACACACACATGTGTGAGTAACAACCCAAGAGCAAAGCTTATCCGACACTATTCCGATAATATCCCGGACGTCAGTCTGAGCGAGATTAGAATGGCTCTTGACCATCTTAAGAATGGCAAAGCATCAGGAGAGGACGGAATTACAGCAAAGCTTCTGAAAGCGGGTGGAGAACCAGTACTTGTAGTCCTTCAGAGGCTCTTTAATTCCGTCCTTCAGGGTGGTGCTACACCAGAGGCGTGGAGCAGAAGTGTGGTGGTGCTGTTCTTCAAGAAAGGCGATAACGCTCTCTTGAAGAACTATAGACCGATATCCCTTCTGAGCCGCGTCTATGTGCTATTCTCAAGAGTCATCTTGAATCGTCTCGCTTCCAGACTCGACGACTTCCAGCCTCCCGAACAAGCCGGATTCCGAAAAGGCTTCAGTACCATAGACCACATACACACCTTGCGGCAGATTATACAGAAGACCGAAGAGTATAATCTGCCTTTGTGCCTAGCGTATGTGGACTATGAGAAAGCCTTCGATTCTGTCGAAATTTGGGCGGTACTCCAGGCTCTTCAGCGGTGCCAAATTGGTATATCGAGGTGCTGAGGTGTTTGTATAACAAGGCTACGATGTCCGTCCAAGTACAGTCCAGCAGTACAAAACCTATCCAACTGCAGAAGGGTGTAAGACAGGGTGATGTCATATCCCCGAAACTCTTCACCGCTGCGTTGGAAGATGTTTTCAAGCTTCTGGACTGGAAAGGACGAGGTATTAACATCAATGGCGAATACATCACCCACCTCCGATTTGCCGACGATATAGTCATCATGGCAGAATCGCTGGAGGACCTTAGTACTATGCTCAATGACCTCAACAGTGTCTCGCAACGGGTGGGCCTTAAGATGAACATGGACAAGACGAAGATCATGTCTAATGTCCATGTCACGCCTATACCGGTTGTTGTTGGGAGCACTGAGCTCGAAGTTGTTGACGAGTACATTTACCTAGGACAGTTAGTCCGGCTAGGTAAGTCCAACTTCGACGCAGAGGTCAATCGGCGAATCCAACTCGGATGGGCAGCGTTCGGGAAACTACGGCAAATCTTCTCGTCAAATATACCTCAATGTTTGAAGACTAAAGTCTTCAATCAATGTGTGTTGCCAGTGATGACCTACGGAACCGAGACGTGGTCCTTCACTGCTGGCCGTATGAGGAAGCTCAAAGTCGCTCAGCGAGCTATGGAGCGGGCTATGCTCGGTATTTCTCTGCGTGATAGAGTTCGTAACGAAGACATCCGCAGTAGAACTAAGGTGACCGACATAGCTCAGAGGATTAGCAAGCTGAAGTGGCGATGGGCCGGCCATATAGCTCGTAGAACCGATAACCGTTGGGGGAAGAAAGGTTCTCGAGTGGCAGCCTCGTACTGGCCATCGCAGTGTGGGACGACCCCCCCACTAGATGGAGTGACGACCTGTGCAAATGTGCGGGAAGTCGATGGATGCAGGTGGCTCAGGATCGTACTTCGTGGCAGTCTATGGGGGAGGCCTATGTTCAGCAGTGGACTCAAACAGGCTGAAATGATGATGATGATGAGATGTAAAGTACACGGCTGAACCAACACATTCGTAACACACTGAAGAAACCTTGCAAATTAGGCATTTAATGGTGACTTATGAAAAAACTGCCAAGAAAACTTATAGTTCATCCTAAATTTGAACAGCTCAAGAACATGTAAGATGTATCTATAAACATTAAATATGAAACTAAATTACGAATATATTCATATAGATTTGAATTCAATATTATAAAATATGTATTTAATGGAATACCTATTTGTAACGATTCAATAAAACGGACGATATAAGTATATCGGTATGTTTCTAATGAAAACGGATTTTCAATATTATAAATATGAATTATTTATAATCCTCATCCTTAGTCTAACGTACATGTCAGTTGTCACAACTCACAAGATTCACTGTCAATGTCAAGTGTGAAGTGTCAGTCAATTGTCGTTTGTTTGTGGTTGTTGTCTGTACTAGAGGACTGTTAAATTTTGTTTGTATTTAATTAAACATACTTTTTCGAACTCAATTTCAAATGGACTATAAAAAAACAAATCTTTAATTATGGGTGTCACAGTGTAAGATATTTAAACCTAGCTATTTTATTTTTAATTATGGTCATTGAAAGCGACAGTATAAACATTATTATTACAGTGTTCAGCCATATATGGTGCCTGAAAATAAAACCGGGACCTACGTTATTGAATTACTTACCAAGAGAATACTAGCCCTAGGAGCAACGCAGCAAGGGCAGTTTTTAGTAGATTGCGAAAGCTACTTATCACATCCTCAAATGGGTAATCATTGTTATAATTTCTAAGTTCTTGGAGTTTTAGAACGCAAAACATTCACATTAACGGTATACAATCGAAGAATAACTTTTATGCAGAATAACTTCTAATAAAACATCGGCAAATCTTATGTTATTATTATATTTTATTAAAATAAGTATTTTTCGTGATTTCATCATTACGCCTTTTTTTATTGTACCTACACTTTAAATAAATATATACAAAAACTCACAACAACAATACAATATAATGTATTAATAAATTCAACAACTTTCAACTAAAATTTTCAGGAACAACAAAAACTGTCCACATACTCCACAATTCCGAGCAGCCTGCCTCAGTTTTCTCAATCCTAGAGAGCGGTACGAAAAACATTCATGTGATAGCCGATGGGTTATTTGATTTGCTGATGATGAAGCTTTCCCAACACTACACATCGAAGAAACAGACAAAAATTGAGAGCAAAGGTCCGAGGTTTGAACTTGGAGACTTCTGCGTCAAACTCGGTTCTGTGACAATGAATCAGAACTTTAAGGGTATATTAATTGAGGTAAGCTTGTGCTGCTCTATTGTGTTTTTGATTTTACATGAATATTATACATATTAAATGAAACTAGTTTACGGATTTTATCATGTTTAATTTTTTTTACTGTAACTTGACAGTATACAGTGTTAACGTTGACATCAAGATGTGTATCAATTCAGTCTGACCTGTGAACATAAATGATGGATATGGTTTGAATCACCGAGAGTTAAAAATCAAAATTAGAATGTGATAAAATCTGAAAATTAGTTTCATTTAATTTGTGCTACACTTTTTAACTGCGAGGATAGGATCACACAGTAGAAGTTTCACTGTAAAGTTGTGACTGGAAAATATAAGTATTTAGACTTGTGTACTTTACATAAGTGAGGTAGCAGGTGAACTGAGAAGTGCAGGATGCCAAACTTTAAATGTATATATTACAAATTAACTGTATGTTATGTCACTTTTAAATTCATTCAACCCATTCATATGCTTTGTGACCTTTACAAATGAACTTTACATTACAGTTTTATACATGAGGTTGTTCTAAAATTCTTTTTTTTGGAAAATTTAATAACTCTGAAAATATTGAAGTTTAAAGAATGTAAATGTTTAATACAACTTTAAAAAGTTATCCCCTATATGTGTATATAATATATTGTCATGTAAAATGTTAAATTTTAATTAATTACTAGTCACTATTAGTAATGAAATAAAAAGCAATGTTCTTCAATTTGTTAATATCTTATTTAATATTATTGCATTTACCCATAATTTTCAGGTGGAATATCGGCCCTGTGTTATGGCAAATGCTGTATGGGGTCTCCTTCGTGAATTTCTTCAAGGCTTATTAGGGCCAACAGTTCCTGTCCAGCCGCCGCAACATTTATTGAGCCGGATGAACGAGATATATACACCTATAGACACTATATATCAGTACTTAGAACATTTTAGTGCCTACAGAAAGGGTCAGCTGAGAAGTGCTTAAGTGACAAGTGAATGATTTTGAGAACAATAAAAATTAAAATCCATTTAATATTAAGGTAATTTTTTTAGTGTTTTATTTATTGTATACAGCGTGTTGTTACCATCGCGACAATAAATGAACACACATATAGGGGATAACTTTTTAAAATTGTATTAAATATTTAGATTCTTTAAACATCAATATTTACACAGTTATTAAATTTTCCAAAACAAAGAATTTTAGAACATCCTTACCTATAAAAGCGTAACGTAAAGTTCATTTGTAAAGGTTACAAAGCATATGAATGGGTTGAATAAATTTAAAAGAGACAAAACATACTGTTAGAAGGAGAGGCTTGTAATACGACGCTGTGGCGCGAGTTGTATAGGTTTCTTTTTTACTTAATTAGTTTGTTTGAAAAATATTTTTTTTATTATGGATTTTGTTTAACGTTAATATTTTTTATGATTATTGGCAAGTAGCGTTAGACGTGTGTTCATTTATTGTCGCGATGGTAACGACACGCTGTATATGAACATTTTGATATTTATGTTTTTGTATTTTTTTCTGTGCATCCGTCTTAATTCTACTTAATATCGGTTTATTCTACATTTATTGCCAAGCAACTTAATTGTGTTAAGTTTGTAACAAATAGATTTTGAAAAAGCTATTTGGAAAGCTAGCTGGCTCCTCTCCCAAAGAGTATGATCCTCTAGTGTTTCTTGTACAACTTTCATTTTCCTTTAAAGTTAACTAATAATAATATTGATATAAAAACTAAAAAAAAACATGCCATGAAGATATTTATTTCATAAAAAAAATCATCACATTTAAATAAACTTATATGCATAAATAAAACAAAATAGTAGCAAATAAATTGTATATTTTTATTTACTACATAAAAATATATAATCTATAATAATTTAAAATCTTTATTATTTGACAGGAACTAATGTTTAGTAGTAGGATACATATACAAATCTAGTTCAACTTTTTTAAGTTTAATAGAGACTAAAGTAGTGAGGTTATGTCTATACTTGCTAAGATTACTGTCATGTGTTATTATATTAATGAAAATAACTCTGAATACTGATAAAAAGATGGAATAAAGCGGTTTTGTACAGGCGTTCCAAAACACCAGTGACTTTTACTTCACAATGCTGCAACCAAAAGGTGAAGCAGAGTAGAGGAAAATAAATACACAAACAATGATGTTTAATAACGTAGATGACGTATATCCGTACTGCGCGGCGTTTAAAAATTGATCCGCTTAACGTTACATGACATTATATATTATGTGAATGTGACAGATGATACAAAGTACAAACGTATGATACGGAAACATGACAGTCTATAGAGTTACACAAATTGGTGTAATTGGAGGTGCGCTAGTGTCCATCCATCTTTGTATATAAGATCATTGCACACAAACGTAAAAAAAGGGGCGAGGGGGGAACCGGCCGCGGGAATCGAACAAGTGTCCTAGAATGGCGCCCAGACGCTTTAATCACTAAGCTTAAACCGCTTATTTCCGCACTAACGAGTCGTGTACCGTATCCAAAAAAAAAAAATAACAGTAGGGTGAAATTAATTAGAAAAGGAGAGGAATATGATAAAAGTGAAAGGTAAACTAATTACAGGCGATCTGAATTCGGGAAGTGGTGTTGGTGGTGGTGGGGGATGAGTTTTTAAGAGTAATCACGGTTTATCTCGATTTCCGGCAAAACTACAAGGTCTATGGAAAAAAGTTAAATGGCAAAGTTGTAGGTAGTGGACTCAATATCGAAGAAGCACCCTATTTTCAATTGAAAATTCTCGCGTCAAAATATCAGCTTTATTAAAAAAGTCTGTGGGCTTTTTGTTCGTTGAAATCTTTCTTACCTTTCAGCCTTTTTTTACACCAGTAAAAAAAATTACGTTACTAAAGTAAATGTTTTATTTTTCCTTTCATTTTTATCATATTCCCCTCCTTTCCAATTGGTGCCGTCCTACTGTTATTTACCATTTTTAAGGGCTTCAGCCCTGGTCTATAAACAGCACACGGACCATTTCAAATAACGTTTTAATTATAAAACGTTAATTAAAGGTTGGTTAATTAAATTAGCTCTCGAACAAATTTTGTTAGATAATTCGAAAGAGAGATGTCGCCTTTACTATTGAAATTTTATATTGCACTGCTTAAAATAGAGAATACAGGCTTGCAAAGCTATATACATTATATGCCTTCATCATAGTTTCACTTACAATTAAATATCACAATACCATACACTTGTGTATGTATTATTTTGAGAGTAGATGTTCTTAGTATTTGTCAGACCTTGTAATAACCAACACATACATAAACAACAAATGTAAATTTAATATATAACAAATAAAAATGGATCTAACTAATTGTATAAAACAATTATTACATCAAAGGTGAGGACGAAAAATCACGTGGGTAGGAGTTAATTAACAAATAAGATGATTTAATAAAGGGTACTACCAGAAAATTGGCTTACTTTAAAGTTTAAAGCCATCAATATTTACTATGAATATCTGAAGAAGCTAGCTTAACAACTCATATTTATTGAACTAAATGGAATGGGCTAAAGTTAGCTCAAGTAAGTAATTGTTAGTAATTATAATTTATTCCTATCAAACCAGTAATATAAATGTCATTTAATTCAAAACTGTAAGTGAAGATTCGAACGCATTTGAAATCTAACAATTATCAGTCACTTGTCTGTTTGAGCTAATAAATCTAATTGGTATCCAATGCTTAATTCAACTTTTGTTGAAGAGAAATTGGTTATCTTGCAGGCTTTCCTTACAAACAAAATTCACTATTACAGTTAATTGATTTGAGGAATGTGGTAGCTTATTATATTGTACAAACTGTTATCATGTATTTTTTAAACAATTCTTATGTAACTCCAGTGTCAATAAGTTGATTATATAATCAGTGAACGCAGCCGTGAACATTCATACAAGTGATTGTTAATACTGTCAAACAAAAATGAACTTATTTGTTAGTTCAACTAAGTCTACATCCCTAAAACTGCCTCGCGGTTTGGTTTTTATGTCCCGAGCCGTCGCGGTTTAGTTTTTCTTTGTCATTTTGGAGCGTCAATAATACTTCCGTGTTTCTTTGCGTTCACTGATTTACATGTTCTTCATTTCATCATTATCAAGTTGCAAGATGTTGCTATATGTATCCATGGTCAACAGCATGTACAACATTGTTGGCTTCCCTTAGTCTTCCCTCTTTAGTTTTGAACGGTCCAATCTGCCAAAAGTCTTCTATGTTTAGTTTCTCTTCGCCCTGTAACAATGCATAGATAGGTATTAGTGATTAAATGCTCACTCAAAGTTGATGTCGAAATTCGTAAATATTCTTCACAACTGCTATTGTATTTTGTGTGGAGGCAGTTGGGTAGTAAGCCTCAACGGCTACCGCGACCTAGATTATCTATTTTAGTCTTTCCTCAAAATGATTGCTCCCTTAGGATAACATTTACTGTTTTAAGTATGTTCTACATAAATTTCACGTGGACAAACACCTTGATCCAAAACAATTATGTGTGTGGGTCACACAAATAGTTGTCTCTCTCACAGCCCCAGGCGCTGAAGCCAACTGCATCATGGAGTCATCAGAGAGAGGCAACCAGGTCTTATTGCTTTCAATAGTTATCAATGCACCTGCAATCCATCCATCAATTGATAAAGTCCATTCGTGGATGTTATCAAGTAACATCAAGTGATTACCTACACCCTTCTCAACTATTTTTCTCAACATTAAAAAAATAATGGATAGGAATTACCTCCATGTCCATATTGACAGCATCTTCTGGGGCCAAAACGATGAAGGGCGTGGACTCGAAACTAAACGCGAGCCCGAAGTAGGAATATTTCTTTATTTCGCCCATAAAAGTATCCCAAGAGTAGACCTTCTCAGGATCGCTGCCCAAATCCCTTATCTGGTTCGAAAGGACATCGTGGTAGTACTTTAGCAGGTGTCCGTAATGCTTATCTCTTAGCTCTTGGTCGGTGCAAGCGTAGATGAAGAAGGCCAGGTCGAGAACGGGACTGGCGCACCTTGTCAACTGGAAGTCTATTATCTTCGCTGCGACTGGTCTACCCTCCTGGTATTTGTAGAGGAAATTGTTTGTCCAGCAGTCGCCGTGGGAAATAACGCCGTGGGTGGAGTCCTTTGCCGCGGCGATCATGTCCCCGTATCGCTCCGGCACCGCGAATTGCTTGACCTTCTCCAAATAGACTGTGTTGGGATACTCATTTTCCACGGCGTCCACTGCTATGCCGCTGATGCGTCTCCAGAAGCGGCCGTACCAATCCCACAGCCTGGCGTGGTAGTATGTCTCGAAGATCTCCTCCCTGATGTCGGAGAACTGTTCGGGCCGTTGATCCTTTAAAGCGAACGACAGCGCGTGGTACTGAGCTAGGGTTTTGACTGTGACGTCACAGTGGTCGAGGTCAATGCCCTCCTGGCGTAAGGCATAGCTTCCGTAGTTCTCGAGAGTGGCGTCCTCCAAGCATATGACGTCATTGACCCCGTCGCAGTGTGCCAGGAACAGTCTCGTGTACTTATCGAAGGGTTCTTTAGGGTTCCAAGTTGCCTGAAAGTCTAGTAGAACCGGCAGCACCCGCTCGTAGAAAGCTATCTCGTTTTTAAAGAACTCATCACTCCTGAACGTCAGGCGTCTGCATACATTTTTCGGTATAGTCTTCAACACAACCTGAATGTGCTTGTCAGTCCCATTCGTTGCCACTCCGTGTACTCTTATCCGAATGACCTCGCTCAAGTAAGAATCGCCTTTGCCGGTATCGCTTACATACTGAAATAAATACATATATAAATACTCAAAAGATGTGTTATTAGTAAAATGTCTATTCTATTTTTGAATTTTAGACATCACTAGCTTCCGTTAGACAGCTTTTAATCGGCCACAATCGGTTTTTACGTGCCTTACTTTATTGGTTAAAGAGTCTGGGTGCGAATACAGAAGACATTAGTTCGATTCCCATGGTGGCGAATATGTTTTCGTCCATTTTTTGTACAAATTTTAATAGACAGCTTTTATCTATAGAATAATTACAAATGTATAATTATTCACTTTTCACTAGGCTTGTTAAGGTCTATATGTAATGAGAATTATGACCTTAGAAAAGTCTTTCTTTTCCTTTTTTACTTGTATTTTCAAGAAGCTGCAAATATTAAATCTGTAAAATATTATTTTGAAAGAGAAGAAGAGATTATTTTGAAAGAGAGAAGAAAGATGACAATTGAAAAAAAATGTGATCTTTTAAGCCATACCTCCCAATGTGTAAAAGTAACGCTATCTTTGAACCAGTCACTGAGAGATTTGCTGAGTTTCTCATTTGTCAGGGCTGGTGAAATATTTGTCAGTGTTTTAAAATCATCTTTTGTCATTTTTATTATGCCTGCAATTATGGAAAAATAAAGTTTATTCCCTTGGTAGAAATTAAGTAATAAAATAATAACAACATAAATTACACATTTATGCTATTTGCATAGTTCAGAGGGTTTTACGAAATTTCCTTAACAGCTAAGCATTTTTAATGTAATTTAATAATAATTTCATAATCTTTTAAATATTTTGTGTTTCCAGAGTATTCTAATCCATTCCTCGATTTGGCGCCAGAAGACGCCATAAACTTGACGATGAGGGTAATACCTATTTTACATCATACATCAGCTTATTATTTTTTAATACAATAATCCCTTGAAATTGCTGCTCTGAAAAGTGCTCATATTACATTTGTCAATGTATGCATGTAAATCCGTACGATTTGAACTAGAAATAATTTCATTGACACTGCACTCAGTCCATAGTAGTTGTCTATAAAATATTCTATTTCTCTTAGTCACTGCATTCAATTGAAAAACTTAATCCAATTTATTGATAGACAATAATAATAATAAATAAGAATAATAAATATTTTAGGACACATTCTTTTTACGCAACATCCTCTAGTCCCAAACTAAGCAATGCTTGTACTATGGGTACTAGAAAAGTGATAGACATACTTAAACATACTTTTCTTTTGTAAATAAATACACATTATACATATATAAACTCCCAGACACTAGAAAAACACTATGCTCATCACACAATATTTTTCCAGTAGTGGGGATCGAACCCACACCCTCTATCTAATATTAACTTATTAGCCCTAGTTCAATTGTAAAAAAGTTTACATAACATAAAAATAAAATAATTTCAGGTTGTTGCCATCTTTTGTCTATTTCTAGACACATGGAAAGTAAAAATTATTAATTTTTTAAAGTGTAAAACAAATTAAACAAGCATCTATTATAAAGATGTGGTACTTGTGTATATGTGTACATTATACAGTAATAGAAGCTGCTGGCTGGCTTAAGCACCATTATAAATTAGATAATAATTGCATTGTGTACTTTAAAAAATCATATCATATGCTATCATCATTAAATGGTTTGAACCATACTACCAACTTCATTATTATGACCAAAAATTAAAATATTATTGTATAAAGTTAAATGAACTTGATAACGACATTTACAGTAAATGACTCAACATTTTAAAGTATGTACAGCATGAAAACTAAAAAAACAGCTCATTATGATAACATTATCAGTTGCACTACTCTACATAATGCATTGATAAATAATTAAAGTTGATAAAATCTTAATTGAAGGATTACTTCTCTTAGAACTGATTTCATATCATCAATGCATGATACCGTTCTAGAGATTGTAGGAAAACCTCTTAACAAAGTCTGTTGTAAGACTAGCAGTTAGAAGTTTAGTTTCTTCAGTATGATCGCTCGAAGCATGGGTGTGGTGTGGTATCCAGCGCCAGTACAAGTATTGTATGTAATAAATATGAACTTAGCATGGTGATAGTTAAGAGATTTCGTGTTTTACGTGCTTCCTCTTATATAAACAAATTTAGGGATAATAGGATATTTTCATTGACATTATTGAAATAATGTGTTCGGTTAGATATAAACAGTCAAGAATAGATTTTAAACAATACACATTAATTACGTTTATCACAAATTTATCAAATTCATAAAAGTGACTGAGGTTAAGCCTCTTAATCACGTACTCGATTAAACGTCTTAGTATTTATCAAGATGTAAAGGCTATACTAACAGTAAGTTCACTCAACTTAGGCACTTACTATTATTATGAGTCACTTATATTTAGTTTTAAATCTTTTGGAAATATTGTTTTGAATAAAATTTAAGACATCGCTGGATATGACGTGGTACGTCACAAACACAATCACATCACAGATCACACGTAATTCCAAAACACCAGATCTTCACAGATCTCAACACAACTCAGAGAACCTTAAAGGGCTGTGCTAATTTGTTTTCGTCAGTTTTTTTTACAGCTAATCTCGGCGGCTTTGACAGCTTTGTCAGCTAGGTTCGAACCTTAGAGACGTTAAAAGAGGAAAATGTATTTAAGAAACTCATTGATAACACGGCAACGGGAGAAAACAAAAATTGAGAGGTGACCCAGGAAGGTTTTGGAAGGTTCAATTTTGTCGAGGGCCAGTTTTCGTCCAGAGAGAGATTAGGTTACCACTGAGACGAAGTTTAAGTCTTTTTCTGCATTCAGAAAGCATGTGCAGCCAATGATTTTAGAATACATTTTATTTAGAAACAAACTTTAAAACCTCTGTGGCGTAGTTGCCAAGGTATTAGCTTCGGCGCGGGGTCCGAGGGTTAACACACGAAACTCGTATTTGTGTGACCCACAGATAATTGTTTCGGTTCTGAGTGTTAATCTACGTGAAATTTATGTATGTAAAACACAGAATAATGTTTTCCTACAGTAAGGAGGCAATGTTTTCAAAGGGTGGGAAGGGTTTTCGTGATCGTTCGGACTTCCTACCCAACCACTTGCACACAAATTATAACACAATACAACTTCAAACTAGCCGTGATAACTCAGTGTCTGAGCGCTCGCCTTTAATTCAATTGACACCTGCAAACTGAGTTTGATCCCCGGTGACGGCACCAATGAATATGTTAATTTTAAGTGCTGACTTTTCACGTGCTCAGCGGTGAAGGAAATAATCGTGAGGAAACCTGCATATTTTTGAAATATTCACAAAAAAATATATTTCGAAAATATGTGAAATCCGCCAATCCGAAGTGGGGTCACATCGTGGACTATGCCCTGATACCTTCTTTATAGAGGAGGCCTTTGCCCAGCATGGAACATTTATAGATTGTTATTTTACTTTACCTTACTTTACAACTTCAAAGCCAAATGTTATGGGCTCATGTCCCTAAATATAGAAAAAATGCTAAAGCATAAGTCTTTACGCTTTTACTGCTTCGTCACGATTTTGCTCATCGTTCCTAATCTTCAATTATTAATGGTGTTGAGGGATATGTATGGTCACTTCTGTGTCCGTAAGCGCCAGCGTGGGCAAGTCCTCAATAAAAGCACACACTGGATAAAACTGTTTATTAGTTATATTAGCCATGTGGCAAATTATGGTTACACAAGCAATACACTATATGAAACATCAGAGCAATATAGTACCACAAATGATATGGGAATATTCCACAAGTTAGAAAATGCTCGTATAATTACGTGTCCATTGTTCTTCTCTTAAACTCTGTCTATGACATGTCGTCTCTATTCCGAACTCGCGTTCCGGAAATGTGTTGTTGAGTGCGTTCGGAAACACCACACGTTGTTGGTGCGTTCGGAAACGCCACATCACCCCCCTATGGAGAAGGAGAATCCGTAGGAAATATGAAATTTAAAGGTCAAAAGGTTTGGAGAAATGAACTCTACGACCAGACCGAGTAGTATACTGAGGTGTGTGTGAAGGAGAAGAAGCAGGAAGGGGTACGGATGGTACGTTAGGAGAAGAGGATGTCCGAGTAGTATCTAGTTGGGCAGGTTGAGGCACAGAAACACAAGGTGGTGATGCCGGAGAAAATGAATCCGTAGGAATCGGATGTTCGACAAAAGCTGGCTTGAGTCTGTCGACGCTAACCGTCATCTGCTTACCATTGACTTCTATCGAGAACGTCTTCCCGTCCTTGGCTCTAGAAATAACCATATGAGGGCCGGAGTAGGAAGGCTGCAGAGAGCGACGAACAGTATCGTTCCTAAGCATGACGTATAACGCTGTAGCGAGATCCTTAAAAACGAAAGGTGACGACTGTGTATGTTGAGAAGCTGGGGTGGGACGCAATTTGGACATATGTTGTCTTAATTTGCAGACAAAATCCGGAAGCTCCTCAAAGCCAGAAACTCCAGAAGATACCAATAGTTCTCCTGGGAGTAACAAGTTTTCTCCTTAAAGCATTTCTGCTACTGTTGCCTGTATATCTTCCTTAAACGCAGAACGCATCCCCAAGAGAACTAAAGGCAATGCGCTTAACCAGGAATCATCATGGCACATAAGAGAGGCTTTTAACTGTCTGTGCATGCGCTCAACGAGTCCATTGGCACAGGGATGGTAACTAGTGGTTCGAATACGTTTAGGCCCGCACGTGTCGGTAAGGCGTTTGAAAAGGTCCGATTCAAACTGTCGTCCCTGGTCAGTTGTTATGACAGCAGGGACACCGAATCGAGAAATCCAGCCGGCCACGAAGGTACTTGCCACCTCTTCCGCAGTTATACCACTCATAGGCCATGCTTCTGGCCACCGAGTATAACGGTCTATAGCGGTAAGGCAATATTGAAAACCATAACAAAATGGCAATGGCCCGATGATGTCAATATGGACATGTTTTAGTCGTGACGTGGGGCTGAAAAAGTGTCCGGGCGGAGATTGTGTATGCCGTGTTACTTTGCTTCTTTGGCAAGGCACACACGTTTTGCACCATCTGCGGCAGTCTTGGGACATGCCAGGCCAAACGAAACGGTCAGATACCAGTCGTATAGTGGCTCGGGCGCCAGGATGGCTAAGGTTATGCAGCTGGTCAAAGATTTTCTTCCGCATAGGTTCCGAGACAAACGGTCGCGGGCGTCCGGTGGACGTGTCACAGACCAGAGATGATGTAGTGCCAGGAACGATGATATCCTCTAGCTTAAGAGCTTCTTCAATGCATCGTCGAGTTTTTGGCAATTGGCGAGGGCAGAATGGTCAGCTTCGAAGCTGATGGCTTCGATGCGGGACATGGCGTCCGCCAGTGCTGTCTGTCCCCTTTACATGGACTATGTCCGTCGTGAATTGAGAGATGAAAGAAAGTTGGTTGAGCTGTATGGGCGGCAGCCTCTCGCGACGTTGCGCAAAAACGCGTACACTAGCGGCTTGTGATCCGTGTAAATTTTAACGTGTTGCGCGGCGAGAAAATGTCGATAATGCTGCACGCTCTCATAAACAGCGAGAAACTCTCTGTAGTAAGCTGGCCATTGGGACTGTTTGGGTTTCAGCTTTTTGCTGA